TTTACATAGAAATTTATCATGAGTTCATTATTTTCATCTTTATTTTGGCTCTAATTAATATACTTGAAAATAAATAAGTGTGATAAAATTAATAATATATATCAAATTAAAATTAAAGAAAAATATATTGAAAAGTAACTTTACAAATAAAAATGAATAAGATGATATATTTGTATTAAAGACGATCAAGAATAAAAATGTAACTTCATTCTAACAAAAATATATCAAGAATAAATAATTCTAGAAACATCTTTCTATATATGAAGTGAATGATAATCAAAGGTAAAAAATATAACTTCATGCAAACAAAAAATCTGTCAATAACAAAAAAAATTAAATAGTTATAGAAACCTTTTTAGTTATTATTATTAGTACCTCATATTTGGCATTTCTCCATTTTCTATAAATTATTGTGATGTCTATTTATTATATAAAAGTAAATCATTATGATTACGATTAACTCTTAATAAGTCTATATCAAATAGAATATTAGGTGGAAACAATAAAAAATAAAATTAAAATTCATATATATGAAAAAAATGAAAATTCAAAATTTATTTTCTTTTTGAGATAAAATAAATAACTAAGTTCATAAAAAGTGAACGGGATAGATCATATATTAAACATGAAATATATATGTGTTATTATTAAAATGAGCTTTCATATATTCTTTTGAGAAAATTCTTTAGGTTTCCTTCTATTAATTTGTGCATATATGTGGATTTTGAAATATTTGAATATTTTAATATAAAAATATAATGATTTAAAACATTAGTTCTTCGTTTTAATTTCTAATATGTTGCATATTTAAAAGTTACATAAAAAGAAGCTTAAAATATCAGTGTAACAATTCAAGATATTTTTAGAAAAATATAGTTAAAAATCATGATCAAATTTAGTTCATTCCCTTATGTTTATCGAAACAAAAGAAATTGTATATATTGTTTGAAAATAACGTAAGAACTAAAAAGTACGAATGACAACTAAAAATATTTGAGAATCATAAAAGAAATTCCTTTGACTTTCCTAAAATCAATTTTATCATATAAAATGTAACAAATAGAGTAACAAATATTATTTGAAAATGACACAAAAAGTACATTAATTAACAATTTAAAATATTTTTTAAAAAAAAACACATATAACAAATTAAGTTCATTTTTTACAATTTTCATTTGTGTCACATAAGTTGGAAGAAAATAATTATCATACGTTGGGCCCGCATTGGCGCGGACACCTAATATCTAGTATTTATTATATTGAAGAGTGAAGTCTAGGACTACCAATGTCACTTTTGTCATTTTAGTAAAATTATCAACTTAAAGTAGTTATATTTTCTGCTTCTAAAGTATGAATTTCCCAAATACCCAACTAAATGATGATTACGGTACTTCTTGCCATAAAAAGCAGGATAAATATCATATATAAACATATTATCTAAAAATGATGGGACATACTTTTTAAATCATTTTATATTACATTAACACCTTTACTTTTTGCACGAAAATAATTTTATTATATAGAAGAGTGAAGTGGAAGGACGACCAAGAGTAAAAATGTAATTTTATTCTAACAAAAATCTATTAAGAACGATAATATATCATTCTAGAAATCTCATTCGTTATGTAAAGTGAATAATCATCAAGGGAAAAATTTAATTTCACAATAACAAAAATTTACCTAGAATGATAACAAAAAAAATAGTTCTAGAAACATCTTATGTTATTGTTATTACCATTAATTTTTTTTTGTTATTACTTCACTCTCTTTTCTTTTATGAGTTGTTGTGTACTCTTTTGACAGATGACGAGGACTAGAGACAATGTTACTAGTGGTAAAGGGGAGGCACTTCCCAAGGTAGTTGTGGAGGCCCCAGCTAGGGGTAGGGGTAGAGCTCAAGCTAGAGGTGGTGCTCATGGTACGACACTTGCCAGAGATCGTGGCTTTGGAGCAGCACCAGTAAGAGGTCGTGCTAGAGAGGTCTCTCCAGAGCCTCAGATTGATGACAGAGAGGAACATGTACCTCTAGATCCTGCAGTCACACCTTTGCTTCAGGATACATTATTGAGGGTATTTAGTGTGTTTGAGGGCTTTACTCAAACCTAAGAGCAGCAGCAAGCTCCAGTTGTTCAGGATGCGGTGGGGCAGCTACTAGTGGATCCCGTGGTTCAGAATGATGTTGCACCAGCAGTTGGTGGTCAAGTTGCACCGGTGGTTGTTCTTACAGAAGATGAGCAGCGTAGGTATGAGACATTTTGAAAGATGGACTCACCTCAGTTTCAGGGTAGGAAGAATAAGGACGCTCATGAGTTTTTGACAACATGCCGAGAGTTACTAGAGGTGATTGGATTAGCTGAGTAACATGGGGTTCGATATGATATAATCCAGCTTCGTGGGCCAGCGAGAGAGTAATGGAAGACTTATTAGGGGGTTTTGCCAGTTGGATATCCTTCAGTGACTTGGGAGCAGTTTTTAAGTGCATTACTTGATCGTTTTATCCCTTGGAGCCTGAGAGAGGAGAGTCGCTTAAGGTTTGAGAATCTGAGACAGGATAGTTTATCGGTTACAGAGTATGAGGCACGTTTTTGCCGATTGTCTAGGCATGTGTTGGCTACTATTCCAGATGAAACAGAGAGGATCCACAACTTTGTGAGGGGATTGACTTTCTCTATCAGGTCAGCTCTATTCCGAGCATCTAGAGACGGGGATTCTTTCCAGTCCATTGTAAGAGCTACCAAAGAGGCGGAATTGATGGAGAGGGAGGAGTTTGGGGACCCTAAAAGGGCCCGTACATCAGGTCAGTTTCATTGTTGCCTCATCTGGATGTAGGGGATCACAGAGAGTGAGTGGTTCCTTTCAGCAGCGGGAACCTATTCATGCATCTATGCCGACATTTGAGGGGGGTCAGACATCTAGGGGTTCTTATAGCTTGGGCCAGGGCTCGTACGGTTCACAACTGTGACCTATAGGGCGAGGAAAGTATAGTAGATTTTCAAGGTCTACACATCAGTTCCCAGGTCAGAGATTTTACTTTATTTGTGGAGATCCTGATCACCTTATGTGGCAGTGTACTTCTAAAAGAGTTCGTGGTAAGCCTCGACGTAATTCTTCATTCCAGACAAGACCACCTACACCATAGGGTAGAGGTCGTGGCAGATTTTATTTAGGTAGAGGTGATAGAGTTTCTAGTAGTGGTGTTGCAGCTCAGCAGAGTGGGGTAGAGGTACCACCCAGGCTGGAGGTGGACAAGGAGGCCACTGTTGTGCTTTCCCGGGGAGACCTGAGGCAAAGACCTTTGATGCTGTCAATACAGGTATCATCCCCGTATGCCATGGACCTGCGTCTGTATTGTTTGATCCAGGGTCTACATTCTCTTATGTATCTACCTATTATGCTGCTGAGTTTGATGTGATATGTGATAGAATGATTGTACCTATTCGTGGTTCTACACCCATAGGTAAGCCCCTAGTAATGGATCGAGTGTATCGATCCTGTTGTATTTCTTTGGCTAGGTATGACACTTGGGTAGACTTAATCATTTTGGGGATGGTAGACTTTAATGTTATCTTGGGTATAAATTGGATTTCTCCTTATCATGTTGTCCTTGATTGTAATGCTAAGACTGTGACTTTAGTGATGCCTGGTGTTCCGAGGGTTGAGTGGAAGGGTTTTAGTGGTTCTTATCCTAGCAAGGTCATATCTTTTATCTGTGCTCAGAGATTGGTGGAGATAGGGTGTTTGTCTTACTTAGCTTTTATTCGAGATACTGGTGCTGAACCACCTCCTATGGACTCTGTTCCCATGGTTCAGGAGTTTCTTGATGTATTTCCTTTTGATCTTCCAGGTGTTCCTCCCGACAGGGATATTGATTTTGCTATTGATTTGAAGCCGGGCACTAAGCTAATTTCTATCCCTCCCTATCGTATGGATCCAGCAGAGTTTAAAGAGTTGAAGGATTAGTTGCAGGATTTATTGAGTAAGGGTTTTATTCGCCCTAGTGTATCACCTTGGGGTTCCCCTAAATTATTTGTGAAGAAGAAGGATGGTACTATGAGAATGTGTATTGAGTACAGACAGTTCTACAAGGTAATGGTGAAGAATAAGTATCCTCTTTCGTGTATTGATGACTTATTTAATCATCTACATTGAACCCATTGTTCTATAAGATTGATTTCAGGTATGGGTATCATCAGTTGAAGATTAGGTCATCAGATATCCCTAAGACAACTTTTTTTACCCAGTATGGGCATTATGAGTTCCTAGTGATTTCCTTCAGATTGACTAATGCCGCTGCAACATTCATCGATTTGATGAATGGGGTGTTTCGACCATACCTTGATTCTTTTGTGATTGTTTTCATCGATGACATCTTGGTTTACTCCAAGACTGAGGAAGACCATGTTCGACACTTGAGGATTGTACTTAGAGGTTGAGAGAAGAGAACTTGTATGCCAAATTCTCAAAGTGTGATTTTTTGATTACTTTTGTGACATTCTTGGGACACATGGTGTCAAAGGAAGGTATTAGAGTAGATCTGGCAACGATTGAGGCAGTTAGAGGCTAGACGCGACCTACTTCACCTAGTGAGATTCGGAGTTTTGTGGGATTGGAAGACTATTATCGACGATTTGGTTAGAGTTTATCTACTATTGCAGGTCCATTTACTAGATTGACTTGACAGGATGTGGGTTTTCAATGGTCAGATGAGTGTGAGGAGAGCTTTCAAAAGCTCAAGACTTTGTTGACTTTGGATCCTGTGTTGACTATACCTGAGGAGGGTGTAGACTTTACTGTGTATTGTGATGCTTCAAGAGTTGGATTGGGTGGCGTGTTGATGTAGAAAGGGAAGGTGATTGCTTATGTTTCTAGGCAGCTGAAGTCCTATTAGTAGAACTACCCTACACATGATTTGGAGTTGGAGGCTATGGTATTTGTACTTAAGTTATGGCGTCATTATTTGTATGGAGTGCATTGTGAGATATTCACTGATCATCGGAGTCTTCAATATATCTTTAGCCAGAGGGATTTGAACTTGAGGCAGCGGAGATGGCTTGAGTTTTTGAACGATTATGATGTGACCATTTTGTTTCATCCAGGGAAGGCCAATGTTGTGGCTGATGCTTTCAGTAGGAAGACTCCTAGCAGGGGAGTCTTGCATCTCTTAGTATTGAGGAGAGATCATTGACTAGAGATCTGCAGATATTAGCTAACAATCTTGTTCGCTTGCAAATTTCAGAAGAGATTGATGGGATGATTGCTTTTATTGAGGCTTGATCTTCTTTAATCGAGTAGATCCGTGCGCACCAGTTTGATCATGAGAAATTATGTCTCATTCGAGACAATGTATTTACAGGGGAAGCTAAGGAGGTTGTCCTTGATTCTGATGGTGTCTTGAGGATCGAAGGCAGGATTTGTATGCCCAAGACAGGCGATTTGGTTAGATTGATTCTTGAGGAGTCTCATTGTTCTCGATATTTCATCCATCCAAGAGCAGGGAAGATGTATCATGATCTGAGTCAGCATTACTGGTGGTGTGGGATGAAGAGGGATATTTCATACTTTGTTTTGAGGTGTTTGACTTGCCAGTAGGTCAAGTGTGAGCACCAGAGTCCCGAGGGTGTATCTAAGAGGATGCCTATTCCTACTTGAAAGTGGGAGAGGATTACTATGGACTTTGTTGTGGGTTTGCCAACCACAGTGGGTGGTTATGACTCCATTTGGGTTGTTGTTGACAGGCTGACAAACTCTGCCCACTTCATTATGGTTCTGATGAAGTATACGACAGAGAAATTAGTCGAGCTATATATCAGTAAGATAGTGCGACGTCATGGAGTTCCTGTTTCTATCATATCAGATCAAGGTTCACTATTTACTTCTCACTTCTGGAATTACAGCATGGTCTCGATACCCATTTAGATATGAGTACAACCTTTCACCCTAAGACAGATGTTCAGTATGAACGGACGATTCAAGTGTTGAAAGATATGCGCTGAGCGTGTGTGATCGATTTCGGAGCTAGATGGGATTGCCGTTTACCCTTAGTGGAGTTTGCCTACAATAACAGTTATAACTCTAGTATCCAGATGTCCCCATTTGAGGCTTTATGTGGCAGAAGGTGTAGATCTCCGATTGGTTGGTTTGATTCGGCGGAGATGGACTCTTTGGATACAGACTTGCTCAGAGATGCTATGGAGCAAGTCTGTATGATTCACTATAGACTATTGACAGCTCAGAGTTGACAGAAGATTTATGCAGACCGAAGAGTTAAATCCTTTGTATTTATGGAGGGTGATCATGTTTGGCTCCGAGTATCACCCATGAAGGGTGTGATGCAGTTCGGAAAGAAGGGCAATCTTAGTCCTAGATTCATTGGACCTTTTGAGATTTTAAGCCGAGTGGGAGAGGTGGCATATAAGTTGGCCTTGCCACCTATTTTGTCGGCAGTTCATCCTGTTTTTCATGTCTCTACACTTCGGAAGTACATTCCGGATGAATCTCATTTGCTTTCACTTGATTCTGTGGAGTTGGGTCCAGACTTGACATTTGAGAAGGAGCCTATAACTATTTTTGATAGGCAAGTTCAAAAGCTTAGAACCAAGGAGATTGCTTCAGTGAAGGTGCTGTGGAAACACCAATTTGTGGGAGAGGCAACTTGGGAGACAGAGTCTGACATGCGTGCTAGATATCCACAACTTTTTGAAGCTTCATGTACTTTATTTCCCCTTACGTTCGAGGACAAACATGATTTTTAGTGGTGGATAATGTAATGACGTGAAATAATTTTTTTTTGAAATTATGAATACTAGTGTAACTTGAGTTAACTAATCGATAGTTAACGGACTAAAGTTATCATTAAATAATACTCTATACACCATGGATTAAAGTGAATTAAATTATTTGGGATAAAATATAAGTCATAACTAAGTAAAAAAGGGTAAGAAGAGGAGAACATGGTTGCTATCGAAAGAACTGACGGCGGAGAAAATAAACAAGGGAAAACTTAGTGAATCAATAGCTAAAATACTTAGTTTCTTCCCTTTCTATATAATTTATATGTTAGTTGGATGTCTAATATTGATAACTTAAGGTTGATTGTTGAATTATTGAAAATGGAAAAAGGACAAAACTCATTAATGGGACGAACAGTAAGGTGGAATGAAGGAAAATATGTACTTATCAACAATAGTCCCAGCAGAAAATTTGATTAGTTATTTAATTTCCTAAGAGCCTATCCATTATTTTATTGTTATAATTAATTTAGTATAGTGACATTTATAATAAAGTAAGTGTGTCAGTGATAATTCTCATGATGCTTTTCATCAATCTGGATGTTTTTAATGAAATTGGAGACAAGAAAAAATGTAATTATTATTATAATATATTGTAGATCAATTGGTCGTTTATGGAACTGAATTGTTAGTAGTTCATATATATATTTTCAATACAATCTACACTACGGTTTCCAGTTAGATTAAGTCACAAAATTGTTGAGGTATTATTATACATTGTCATTGGTTATGGATTAAGCATAGGATGTAAATTGAGGTTCAGAATATAATATAATTATCTTTTAACATAAAAGGTGTTGGAATTATTGTTTTTTCTTTGGATAAAATTTAGTATTGAATATACTAGATTACATGAATACAATTAAAATAGTGATATTGGAGAAGTTGAAGCTTAACCCTAGGTTTGAAACTTATGAAACTTATACTTATATGGGTGTTATTAGTTTCGAAATATTATTGTGTTTATGTACTTGAATAGATTGCATTAATTTAGAAGTTCAACGGAAAGGGAAGGCTCAAGTACTGGAGTGAATTGTTGATTAATTGAAGCAAGTGGATTTCTAAACCCTTGTTAAGCGTATGAAATTGGTGTATTTTCTTGTGCGGTGTTGAGAATGATTTAGAGACTTGTTGCTTATTTGTTAGTGTTGTATTCTGTGTTGTAAATTATGTTTTGTTATCAAAATGGTTATCTCCTCAATTTTCATTTGAGCATGTCATTTGCATTGTATCAGAGACATGCTTGTGATAAGAGGATGTACCATTTCAAGGGTCGTATCACACACTACGATGGATATTATATTTTGGGGGACGTATCACGCGCCGTGAAAGTTACTATTATCGAGGGCCATGTCGTGCGCCGCGACAGATACATAGACAGATATGTCCCCCATGAGTCTCAGACTGAGAGACATCGAGTGTGTATCATTAGGGAAGATATGCATCACTAGTTGACATTGCATCTCATGGAATTACACATTTTTATTGGTGATGAACTTGAACACGTATTTTGCTGATGTTGTGAGTGTTTCTCTGAAACTTGTGACTGTTGAATATTGAGTTGTTATTGAGAATGTGTAAACTGATAGAGTGTGGTTATTGAGTTGTGTATTTGATAAACTCAGAACTGTTAGGCTGTAACGTGGAGGTTTAGATAGGGTGGAAGGACTAGCCATATTTGTTCACTTAATTTGTGATTATAGGTTTGCTTGTCGGGTACCGCGTGATTTTGTACTCAGCCCTTGCTTTTATATATTTTTGTAGGTTATGAGCCTGGATCTCCGTGACACCTCTCATTCACTTCGTTTGCGAGACATCTTTTGGAGGATTGTGAGGTAGCTGCTTGTCATCTCAGCGAACTTTCCTACTCCAGTTTATGATTTTGTTTTTACTTGAAAGACAATTTCATTTTTAGACTCGTTTTATTACTTCAATTCTAGTATTTACATTAGAGGCTTGTGCACGTGACAACTCGGTTTTGGGGATTTAATCAGGTTGAATTGTTTTTATATTAGTAAGTGTTATTATACCTTTACTTTATTTCCGCATTTTATCAAAATTATTGGGTTACCATGAGTTTTCTTGGTGGGATAAGACAAGTGTCATCACAACAATTTTTGGATCGTGACATCAATGGACTCTCTTCCCGCATTCTTGTTAGGTTGAATAGAGGCATATTAAGAATTTGAAGACGGTGAATGCACCACTAACACTCAATACATGTTAGTTAAATCATGTCATTCAATATTGATTCATAGAATATTTTTATACAACGTAAAAACATAAAACTAATGCAATAACGTATAAATTTCCTTTTTCTTCAATTTGTATTGAAAGATATGGGCCACATATTACTTGTTTTGGGGAAATTGGGTAAAAACAGGGCAAACACTTACTAGCAACTTTGGATTTATTATCAATTCACTTATTTTTTTGTATAATATTTATTTAAATGCGGATATAAATAATTTCAAGACTAATCTAATTGGATAATTTACAGAAATTTCATCAGTTAACAGGTTAACTATTTAAACACACTGATTTATAATATTGCTAATCTTATTAGATTTTGATGCATTCATTCACGTTCAGATGTACGTATCTCGGGATATACAAAATTATGTGTAATTTGTTCTAGATATATTGTATCCAATGTATTTTGGTCACACAGACAACTTTCCCTCGCCTTCCTTCTATGTTGCTCGTCACTCTTATATTATTTGATATCTCGAACACATGAAAATCACACTAAATACATACATATATACGTATCCAGTGTGTATCTAATGTTATTTGTATGTACCTGAGATACATACACAAATCTCGCTTGCTTCCCTTCTGTTCTCATTCGTCTTTCTTCTTATTATAGTGTATCCTGTATCAAAAAATATAAATACGGGTGTGTCTGATTTAATATCAAGTATGACATTACTAATTAGAGATCTAAAATAAGGATTTCAAAATATAAAAAATATTTAACATATATTTTTAATATTTGTGAATTAGATAATATCTCCGATTTAACACCTCTAACCAAATACAAGATAAAATAGTTTACACTTTATTCATTATTATCGCTTATTTTCCATATGCCAAATGATCCCGCATTATGTAAATGTTTATTTAAATATATACAATCTAAATTTTGTATATAAGGATGAAAATAATTGAATCACATCATTATGTTATAAATAAGACGATGTACCATATTTACTGGTCTTTGTAAAAAAGATTGCAATGATAGAGTTCTAATAATTTTTAAGAGTTGTCAGATAGATTGCATTTGAATCTTGTGGTTCTTATAAGAAAATAAAATTGTCGTGATAAAAAAATTGAAAAGATAGTTTTAGCGGATTGTGATTATAATATGTGTTGTTATATAGAAAAAATGACGATATGATGTTTTTCTCTTTCCAATCTTTGAAAGTTATCTTTAAAATACTTTGTACCATAAGTCATGTGTCACGACCCAAATCCGGGCCGCGACTGGCACCCACACTTACCCTCCTATGTGAGCGAACCAACCAATCTAACCTTAACATTTCAATATAATATCAATAGAAAGTAATGCGGAAGACTTAAACTCATTAATAAAATTAATAACTATTATTATTCCCAAAATCTGGAAGTCATCATCACAAGAACATCTATAATCAAATTACTAAACTAAGAGTATTCTAAGAAGCTAAAAATACATAAGAAGCTAGTCCATGCCGGAAGTTCAAGGCATCAAGACTTGAAGAAGAAGATCCAGTCCAAGCTAGAAGCATTAGCTCACCCTGAATTTCCGATGTAGTAAGACTGGCTTGAGTTACTGTTGAGTCGAAGATGACGGCACGTTTGCTGCACTCCACAAATAAACAAGAAGAAAACAATAAAAGTAGGGGTCAGTACAAAACACGGGTACTGAGTAGATATCATCGGCCAACTCAAAATAGAAAACAGTATGTATTAAGCAATATCATAAAATCAACTAATATCCTTAGCATGCAGCATTTACAGTTACCATAACCCTTGGTTACAACACCAAGCACATCAATGAGGACTCACACTTCCTCATCATACTCATTTGGGAATTTAGTTCATTAGATTGGATATATTAACATATTTCAAGATTCATTATCTTTATTCCCCTCGTGTCGGTACGTGACACTCCGCTCCTCAATATACTATCCTGGTGTCGGAACGTGACACTCCGATCCTCATTCTATCCTGGTACCGGAACGTGGCACCCGATCCATATTCTATCCTGGTGTCAGAACGTGACACTCCGATCCTCATATACTATCCTGGTACAGGAACGTGGCACTCGATCCATATTCTATCCTGGTGTCGGAATGTGACACCCGATCCATATTCTATCCTGGTGTCGGAACGTGACACCCAATCCATATTCTATCTTGGTGTCGGAACGTGACACCCGATCCATATTCTATCCTGGTGTCGGAACGTGACACCCGATCCCCTAACCTCACTACTTTCATTCATCAAGCCTTCTTATATACCAAGGCATCATCATTAACAAAGTAGATTAGGGTTTCTTTTCAAGATTTGGGATTCAATAGCTTCATCATGCTTATTTATTTATAATTACATAATCACATCATTCATGCAAGCATACAATTAAGCATATAGAAGGTTTACAATACTACTAACACATATCATTCGCTATTAAGAGTTTACTACGAATAGCATGGAAACCATAACCTACCTCCACCGAAGAATTGCGATCAACAAGCTAATCCTCAAAGCTTGGTGCTTTCCTCTTCTCTCGATCGGTTCGCCCTCTCCCTTCTAGTTCTTTCTGTTTTCTTATTCAGACCCTCTTTCTTTTACCCTAATTAGTATATAATTAAGAATAAAAGATGGCAATAATACCCCACGAATTAACTTAAGGTTACCTCTTTTAACCCCCAAGAATTTGAGTTATTAATATAAACCCATGAAATATATAATTATAGCAGGAATAGTCCAAAACGCTCCTTTAAAACTTAACCAGAAATCCGACTCCAACTGGGATTATGCAAACTGTGACAGGCCGTCGCGCCTGCGACGGGCCGTCCTGCTGTCCGTCGCATAGTTCAGAAACTTGATTTTGGGTGAATGGCTTGTGACGGTCCGTTACACCTGTGACGGTCCGTCCTGCCACTCCGTTACGAAGTTCAGAGAGTCGATTTTCAGTACCCAATTTCAGATTTTCTAAGTGTTTTGAAGCGAGACCCTGTGACGGTCCGTCGTGCCCTTGACGGTCCGTCGTGGGGTCCGTCGCTTCTGCCAGTTTTTCCAGAATTGAAGTCTGTTGCTCAAAACGACTAAACAGGTCGTTACATCATGACACCTTGGTGATAACTCGAATAATTATCCAATGATTCTCAAATCAATATTTCTATAGCCAGCTGAGATAAGCATGTCACGCCTCTTTTTTTTTTCTCTATATTTTTTTATTTTTTTATTTTTATACTTTGAAAGAAAAAGAGTTTTTCCAATTAAAGTGACATTTTGAAAAGGGATAATTATTATTCAGAGTCGCCACTTGGAATTGAGTTTTGGCGTTCCAAGTCACCTTATTTAAATCCCTAATCAAAAGGAATTTTGACTCCATTTTTTATTGGTCTGCGAACTAAAAATCCGAGTAAGGAATTCTGTTGACCGAGGGGAAGGTGTTAGGCACCCCTCGAGTCCCGTTCTAGCACGGTCGCTTCATTGACTTTGATATGACTAGACTTAATTTTAAATATTATATTATTTAACTTAGCAATAAAAACATTTTTTTTAATTTATTCTCTCATTTATTTTAAACCTTTTAAAAATCGTCTTATTTATTTTAAATCTATTGAAAGTTATTTTATTATTTTTGGTGTATGTTCGTTAATTCAATATTTGAAACATTCATATTTATTTAT